GGGGGGGGGGGGGGGCGGTAGTTGTGTTTTCCTTGTTGGTTTATTGGTGGTGATGGTGTTTTCCTTGTTGTCGTTGGTGGTGTTGTTTTGTTGTTGAGATGGTGCTGGTGTTGGCGGCGGTGTACATACGTGTCATCTGCATGCCGGTCGTTTTTTGGCGGTGGTTGTTGTTGGTGTTGGGGTGTTGATGGATTGGGCGGTGGTGTTGCTGAGGTGTTCTCTTGTTCTTGTTCTTGTTTTGAGCTCTTTTGCGTCGAGGCCATCGTCGTATCGTCGTCCCGAATCCCTCCCAGCCGAACTCTTTGGGAACACGCGAAAAGCGCACCCTTTGCAACGTGTCCACAAAAATGCAGCAGTCCCAATGGATGCCTTTGGCGATTGCCCGCACGGAATTCCCGAGCGCTATTGAGAAGAGTGTTTGGTGTTAGATAGGCACAGAGGTTTCCGACAATAGTGTGCTAGCTCGTGCCGTACGATGACTGCTGCACCCAGCATGTGCAAACCTCCTGTTTCGATATTCGGGTCTAGTGTACTTGTTAATTGGTCGACGGCGCGTTCTCTGCTCAAGCACGCCTCGCCGCCAGGGACAGGTTAATGTGATGTGCCCTGTTCAGTCGACAAGTGAACGCCGAGTCTGATTTTTCTGTCGGAGGTAAATGGCACATCCTCGAAATTTCACGTGTCCCCACGAAAGATGACCGAGGAAAGCCCAATAAAAACAAACCTCCGCCTTGTACACCGCAAGGGTTGTGAGTGTCGACCGATCGCCAATTTAAAGCATTCCCATCACTGCTACTACCACCACCACCGCACACCACCACCCGTCCCACCAGCCTGCTCAACACACGGAACGCTTACCCATTCCCTCGCGCTCAAACCTCTATGCGACAGCAGCAGCAGCAGCAGCAGCAGCAGCGGCGGCTGGGGGCGACGGCTACCATCAAGTTCACGGCGGTGGAAGCGGCAGCCTCACCGAGAACAACTCCCTGGGTAGCGGCGGCGGCAGCCACCAGCGACAGACCCTCGGGCGGCCCGCCTGGCGTCCCTCGACGCAAGAAGAGGTGGTGGTGGGGGCGGTCACCGCCGCCGCTGCTGCCGTCGGGAACGGCAGCAGCGGGGCCGGCGGCAACAACAACAACAACGACGGGAGCGGCTCCCGGTACGGTGGTTCAGGCGCCGCTAGCCCTGGCGCCACTGGCGGCGGTCACAGCGGTGGGGAGACCGCTGCCGGTCCCTCCCAGCAGCCGTTCTCGCTGGACACGGAGATGGACTGGACCGCGACCGGCGAGCTGGTGCCGCGGCGACACCTGGTGAGGGTCGGGGGCGGAGCAGCGGAGCTAATGGACAAGGTTTGTTGCTGCTATTGCTGCTGTTGCTGCTGCTCCTGCTGCTGCTGTCGTTGGAATGGTTTTCTTTCGCCGGCAAGGCGGGCGTGTTGTTACTGGTGCTGTCAGAGGTTGGGCGCACCACTCGTGTCGGTTGTTTTGGTCGGTTTGGGGGCTGGTTGGTGACGCTTTTATCCGCAGTGGTGACGGATGGTTTGGTGGCACGGAGGAGGGCGAGGGATGGGAAAACGGTGGTGCTGGTGCTGTGCACACGGGGTGAAGTACGATCTCGACGATCGGGTCGCTGTCGGGGACTCTCGTTCACAGGCCTAGGGGAGAGAGAGAGAGAGATAGACAGACAGCAGATGCTGTCTTGGCTTACCCTTGCCTGTACCGCCGTTGCTGTTGTCCTGACGCTCTGGGAGCGTGCTCTGATGTGCCGTTTACACATGTTCTGGCACGCCTGCTCTGCTCGTACCTCGTACAGACACGGACGAAGTTTCTCGTGTGCAAAGTCATGGCGCTTGTGCACGGCTGTCTGCTAGGGAGTTGAGAGCGTTGGACGCGCGTGGAGGAAGCTCTTCCCGCCAAACCTTGACTAGACACCGAGCTTCCCCCCCCCCCCCCCCC